GGGGGCTTTGGGGGGGGGTTGCAGCTCCGCCTTGCAGCTCCCATTGCTGCCCGTGCGGCGGTTCGTCCTGCAGTGCAGCTCCTATTGCAGCTCCCATTGCAGCTCGCCTTGCGGCTGCGTTGCAGCTCATTTTGGAGCTCGTTTTGCAGCCCGCGTTGCAGCTGATATTGCAGCACGCCCAGCAGTTTGTAGTGCAACTCGTTGCAGCTCATCTTGCAGCTCAAGTTGCAGCTTATATTGCAGCGCACATCGGGATTCGGGCTGCAGCCCGTATTGCAGCTCATATTGCAGCTCGCGTTGCAATTTGCATTGCAAGCCGTGCTGCAGTTCATATTGCAGCTCACATTGTGATTTATATTGCAGCTCACATTGCAGTTCATATTGCTGCTCATATTGCAATTCATATTGCTGCTCACATTGCAGTTCATATTGCTGCTCATATTGCAACTTCTATTGCAGCTCATATTGCAATTCATATTGCAGCTCACATTGCAACTCAAATTGCAGCCCGTATTGGCATGCACATTGGGATTCATACTGCCATTCATATTGCAACCCCTGTTGCAGTTTCTATTGCACCTCAATTGCCGTTCATATTGCAGCCTATTTGCAATTCAGATTGCAGCTCATCTTGCAGCTCAGACCACAGCTTGTATTGCAGCTCGTACTGCAGCTCACATTGGGATTCATGTTGCCAATCACATTGCAACCCGTATTGCAATTTATATTGCAGCTCACATTGCAGTTTATATTGCATCTCATATTGGAGCTCGCGTTGCAATTTATACTGCCACTCACATTGCAGCCCACGTGACAATTTATATTGCAGCTCATCTTGCAACTCAAATTGTAGCTTATATTGCAGCTCACGCTGGGGCTCGTGTTGCAGTTTATATTGCATCCCACACTGCAGTTTATATCGCAGCCCATATTGCAATTCATATTGCAGCTCTCATGGGGGCTCACATTGCAGCCTTTATTGCAGTTTATATTGCAGCTCCGCTTGCAACTCAGACCACAGTTTATATTACAGCTCATATTGCAACTCAAATTGCAGCTTATATTGCATCTCATATTGGAGCTCGCGTTGGGATTCATATTGCAACCCTTATAGCAATTTATACTGCAGCTTTCACTGCAATTTATACTGCAACTCGTATTGCAATTTATATTGCAAGCCACGCTGCAGTTTATATCGCAGCTCAGATTGCAGCTCAGATTGGAGTGCACTGTGGGATTCACATTGCCACTTGTATTGCAGCCCCTACAGCGATTTGTACTGCAGCTTACACTGCAATTTATCCTGCCTCTCATATTGCAGCTCGTATTGCAATTTGCATTGCAGCTCATATTGCAATCTATACTGCAGCTCACCTTGCAGCCCAGACCACAGTTTATGTTGGAGCTGACATTGGGATTCATATTGCAGCCCACAATGCAATTTATATTGCAGCTCTCATTGGAGCTCACACTGCAGCCCACATTGCACTTTATATTGCAGCCCACCTTGCAACTCAGGCCACAGTTTCTCTTGCAGCTCAGGATGCAATTTATACTGCGACCCCTGGTGCAATCTATGTCACCATCCATCCTGCAGCTCGTACTGCAGTTCCTGTTGCCACTCCTATTGCAACCCACCTCACAATTCCTGTTGCAGCCCAACACTGCAGTTTGCAGCACGGCTTCATGCTGCACTGCTGCTCTTTGTGTTGCAGCTGCAGTTTGCACGGCTGCATCACAGCTCCCCACGCACTTCACACAGCAATGCACACTGCAACACTGCCAGCCACGGCACGACTCGCATTGTGATCCATGCAGCTTACATTGCAATTCATACAGCAATCCCAGCCCCCCCCGTAACAAATTCCC